TTTTTTTTAAATAAAGAAAAACACCTTGAATTTCAGGCAGGGCGCGGGGCTCCGTTGGCAGGGCGTAGCGCCCCGCCAAGACAATGGTAGGGGAAACACTGGGTCATGACCGAAAGAACGAGATTGCGGATACAAGCGGCCGAAAAGGGTTTTCTACGCAGGGTGGCTGGTGTCTCCCTTAGGGATAAGGTGAGAAGTTCAGTCATCCGGGAGGGACTCGGAGTTGAACCGCTCCTCCTTCGCGTCGAAAGGAGCCAGTTGAGGTGGTTCGGGCATCTAGTTAGGATGCCACCTGGGCGCCTCCCTAGGGAGGTGTTCCAGGCACGTCCAGCTGGGAAGAGACCAAGGGGTAGACCTAGGACCATGTGGAGGGATTATATCTCTTTGCTGGCCTGGGAGCGCCTTGGGATCCCCCAGTCAGAGCTGGTTGATGTGGCCAGGGAAAAGAAAGTTTGGGTCTCTCTGCTGGAACTGCTACCTCCACGACCCAACCACGGATAAGCGGGAGAAGATGGATGGATGGATATGCTGCATGTGACATCAGTGCAGCATAGCTATGTCTTGTTGGAGAGTCATCAGCCATGTTCTCATGCTCTGTGATAAAAGCTATCTCTTTTCACACTGTTATCATCATGTGAAATCCTTTTTAATTCAGTCCTTAAAGATATATTTAGTTCAAAAAGCAATCCCGACTAGTGCAGTTAAAATATTTCAATATGTTTTCCTTACACTGTATAACAGGATAGGATTTTACCAGAGAGTTTTTAGAGTCCAAAAATCAGATTGCATGTTATTGTGGCTTGGAAAGTTTTATAATGTAGACTGATGAATTCTTTTGGGCCATGTGTCTTTAAAATATTAGCATACTTGTTATTCCAAATAATATTGTTGTTAATACTTACTATACCTAGAATTGCTATACTTATCATAAATAATTTGGACTTTTCCTCAATAATACTAACAATGTACACTTAGCGTTAGCCCAATGCTTATTGTGTTTCTGTGTTTGTTTGTGTGTGGATGTGTCACACCTGTATGTCAGACATGAACGAGCACAGTTCCAGGAGTCACAGCATCTTCCTCATCAACATCAAGCAGGAGAACTCTCAGACCGGACAGAAGCTGATCGGCAAGCTGTACCTCGTGGACCTGGCCGGCAGTGAAAAAGTTAGTTTGCATCCTGCACTCGTCCTCCCCCTCGCTTTGGATTTGCATCTGCATCCTCCTCCAGATTCAGAACACATAATTGTAGTTTTTGAGATTTTTTGTTTTGTTTTAAAGGCGTGGTAAGTACTTCTTTTAAACATGGTTTAACTTTCTAGATGCGGACCGGTCTGTATGAAGGCTTTGCTGTATTAACTGAATTCACATAATGAAACTTTATTGACACACAGCTGCCTCTCCTTTAATCAGGGGACACTACAGTAAACTGTCTTATCTGTATGGTATCCATAATGCCAGTAAAACCTATAACATGCTTTGTCAACCCTCTTTTATAAATCTGATTATGTGTCTTCAGTTAATAATACACTGTTCCTTACTCTTTGGTATAGTCATTTTTGACAGTTTGGAGAATGATAACCATGTTGTGAGCAGTTAGAATGTAGAAGTAATCCTATTAAGTAATTTTTCTTATGATAGAGTGTGCTTCCGGCCTTACTCTGAGAACTCTCCTGTGTTTGTGTGTTTCACAGATTGGTAAAACAGGAGCAGAGGGCACAGTGCTGGATGAAGCCAAGATGATCAACAAGTCGCTGTCTTCACTGGGAAATGTCATCTCAGCTCTGGCAGAGGGCTCGGTGAGGCAGTCAGCACTATCTCTGGGATGTTGGGTTTTTAGAGTTATGTTCTTCCATCTAACTGCCTTTTAAATAGCCTATCTAAGAGGGAGAATGTGATTACAAGTTTAGTATTAAAGGTAGGGTAGGTAATTCACTTCAGAAACACTTTTTGTTATATTCCATGGAATGCTCTTAACATCCTGATAGCAATGAATAAATTAAATGCTTTGACAATAAATATATACAAATATTTCATCTGTGGAAGCTGTGGCGCTTTAAAAAGCTATTCCAATTATCTGCCCCGGCCCGCGGGAGATAACTGGATGGCCTACCTGCCTGTCAGCCTTCCATCTCATGCACAAACTTATCTCGTGCCCTCAGTGGTCATGTGCGGGTTTGTGTGTGTTGGAGGAGGGGCTCTGTAAGGAAGTCCAAAGGAAGGGGCAGATTTATTTTTGGTTGTGTATTTTCAAATTCTAGCTTACTCAAGCTGGTTTCTCCATTCTTATCTACCCTACCTTTAAGTAGGAATAATAATATGTAGTCCAAAACAAATAGCCTTTAAAATGATGACATTTTACACAGTATACCTTGGAAATATTATTAAATGATCTCAGTAGGAGCTCTGTATGTCCTGCTGATTGTAAATAGTGTCCTCTGTCAGGCTTATGTGCCGTACAGAGACAGTAAGATGACCCGGATCCTGCAGGACTCCCTGGGGGGGAACTGTCGAACCACCATGGTCATCTGCGCCTCACCCTCTGCCTACAATGACGCTGAGACCAGGTCAACTCTGCTGTTTGGACAGAGGTACGCTCTAACACATACAATCACAACTTACCAAGGAAATATGTGGACCACAATTCATGGAAATCATAGGAATCATGTCAATGCAAGTTACATAAGTCCAAATCTCTAAATTAGATGCACCTTTACCAGCTGTGATAAACTTTTAAAGCATCAATAACTATAATCAAAACATACAATATATATTATTCTGAAATGGGCTAATCTGCATAATGAATACTTTTACTTTTGTTACTTTAAATATATATATTTGTGTACTTTTACTTGAGTAACATTTTGATTGCAGGACTTTTACTTGTAACAGAGTATTTCTACACTCTGGTACTTCTACTTTTACTTTAGTACAAGATCTGAGTACTTCTTCCTCCTCTGAGTAAAATCAGTACTGCGTGGCTGGGCTGGTGATATTACCTTCCTGTGTCACCAGGGCAAATACCATCAAGAACACAGTGACTCTGAATGTGGAGCTGACTGCAGAGCAGTGGAAGAAAAAGTGGGAGAAAGAGAAGGAGAATAACAAGACGCTGAAAAACACCGTCACATGGCTGGAGAGCGAGCTGACCCGCTGGAGAGGCGGTAAGGACAACAACATCCCACATATGTATTTGCCACTTATGCTGCTTTGGGATATTTAAAGAGGCTGATGAGCTTGAATGTACTTACTTATACTCAAAGAGTTATGTTTTACAAATTCCAGCCATGGCACACAAAGTATTTATCCTTATGCATAATCACAGATGTTTCATGCCTTTAGAAATGTTCTAACCTATTTTCCTACTGTATTTTCCAACCAACGCAGAAAAAAAGGTTTGGTAATATAGATTTATAAAATGTACACCGTAGTAATGTGATCATCATAAAGGAGTACAATACTTTCGTTAGGTTGAGTTTAAAAATAAGCAAAACAACTAAAACTTTTACCTCTGATTTTAGTATTTTTGCACAAGGTTATGGTTTGAGCTAATTCACATTGGTCATATCTTTGGCTTAAATATGACAATTGCTAATCAAAGACTCCTTTTCTTTCACACGAGCGATGACTCTTCAGAAATGTGCATGATCATGTCGGTCTTACACTGATCTAAAGAGCAGAGAAATCTCGAGTTGTCAGAAGACTCCCTCTTAATAAGCTTGGTGCCCAAACACAACAATATTCACAAAACTGTGTCTCAAGGCTTCTTAACATTTAACAACCAATTAATGTGTCATACACACTTAACGGGAAGAAACTCAGCTAACTGACGATATGAACCATTTTTACCGAAACTAAATACAACTCTAATGCCAAGCCTCTGAATTAGCACTAAGCGAAAGAGTGCACATAACTCACGGTAGAAATATAAAGCTTTTTGTCCACTAACCCATCATTATAGGGTGGTTTTCACTATAAGTAAAGTTTGTTTTTTTGGACGGAAACTATCATTTACATTTTTTACTATGTTCAATCTGAATTTACTTTCAAATAAAAACATCTATATTGATTCTGACTTTTCTACATCCAACTCACAGGTTTATCATTGCTTTGAGAAAAAAGATGATTACCGTAATTTTCGGACTATAAGGCGCACCTGAATATAAGCCGCAGCAGCTAAATTGAATGATGTGTACATATATAAGCCGCACTGGACTATAAGCCGCAGGTGTTTTAATGTTTAATTACCATATGTAAGGGTTCGTGCACAGAGGGGATTGTCGGGAAAGAGATGGCTGTTTGAGGAAGCTCCCATTTATTAACATTTCAACAAACAAGTTGCATATTTGCATAACGTATTCAAGTGTTACCATTTAGTGTAATAGTAGCTACAGAACATGTGCTGTGTAAACTGTACTGTATCACATAGCGTTTCAGACACACAAACTTTTCAACTTTCAAACTTAAACAGTGCGCTCCTAGCGCACGTTTAACACCTTTGCACAAACTGTCTCGCTCTCGTAATGTCTGTCTGTCTTGCTCTCGTTCTGCCTCTCGTACCACTCTCGGTTCCACTTTTACTTTTGCGCGCAACCTGTCTCACTCTTTTCCGGCCTCCAGCTTTTCCTGCTGGTGGGGGGCGCGGACCGGCCATAGAGCCCATAGAGTTAAAGGTGGTGGACTGTAACCTGTAAAATCCATAGATTTAGGAGGTCCCCTAGTGGCCGTTAGCTGTAAAAATCCATAGATTAGCCGCACCGTTATATAAGCCGCAGGGTCGAAAAATGGCAAAAAAGGCGCGGCTTATAGTCCGAAAATTACGGTAATTTACCCTTTTTAGAAGTGAAGTTATAGTAATTTGTTCTGGGAATGTCATTTTCGAACCTGAGACCTGAAAAACAGTCTCAGGGCTTAACAGGTTAAAAGGACAGGATGATTAAGACCCCATTTACGCAAACGCATACGAAACGCAAACGAACTGAATACGATATAAAAAAAGTATTCCGTTCACACGAGACCGCTCGGGAGCGCTGGAGACGCTGTAGTACATATGCCTGTAAGTGGCGCTGTACTTTTGCCACAAAATACACCAAAAGCAATGAAGAAGACCCCCGAGCATGGTTGCCCTTCTGCATATGCCCCGCGGTGGATTTAGCAACATGTAGTTCATGTAATTCTTCATGTCCACTTGTTGCTGATGGTTGTGGTAGAGGAGCTGTAGATTTTGCACTAACATCTGTAGTCAGTAGCTACTGACCATGGTACAGCAGTGAGCAGCAGAGGTGGGGAGAGGTGGGGCTATTGCTTCATCGTTATCAGGAAATGATCGTATAGGGCGTACACAGGGAGCCGTTTGCCCCCCCCAGAGCGTTCCTTTTGCAGATCTATCTACCTTGGGACCCGTTATCGTTTTAGGGGTCCGTTTCCGCGTCTCCGTTACGGCCTCCTGTGAACGAACGGGCTATACGAAAGAGAAAAGTAGCGGATACAACCAGTGTCAGAAGAGCCCGGTGGGCATCACACCGACAGAGACAACAGAAAGTTAATGCTAAATGATGCTAATGTAATTTCCTGCTGCCCCCTGCAGGAGAGAGTGTGCCAGTGGAGGATCAGTTTGATAAAGAGAAGGCCAAAGCAGAGGTGCAGGCCCTGGACAGCGCGCTCAACAATGACAAGACGGCCCCCACACCGGCCCTCAGCGCCCCCCCCGGGGTCAAACTCACTGACGCTGAGAAAGTGAAGTATGGGGCAGAAATGGCCAAGATGTACAAAGAGATGGATGACAAGGTGAACACATTTTTGTGGGGAGTGTTTTTGCAAATGCTTGTGGCACGCACACACACCATTATTTTTTACAGCTGGGCATTGACTCACTGGATGCTCATCTCTGTATGGTGGTTTCACTGATCAAGTCAGAAAATATTTAATGATCTCCACTAAAAATAAGAGAGTAATGTTTTTTGAATAAGACAATACATGAATGTCCTATAAAATGATGTCTTAAAAAACTTTTGAAATATCAGAAGATACTGAACATATTAGAGTTGTGCCATTTACAAATCAATCGGATTATAACCATAACATAAGTCATGAACATAGAATAACCTAAAACCAAGTATGAACACTAATATATTGTGGTAGTAATGGGTAATAATGCTGCACATGACATGCATACATCCACTGTATATTTACTGTTTAAGAATAATGAAGCTACCAGTTGCTTTATATTAAATAGAGCTTCACTACACTGAAGCTACTCCTCCCCCCTAGCAAGATTTCAGATTAATTAAACAACATCAAAGTTACTTTTTACATTGAAGCAACTTCACTCCAAGTCAATACTATTATTATAAAAAGTTGTCGTACATAAAAAATAAATAAGATATAATTCATATTGAATCATGGAACAAATGTATATTGTATATTCTACTATCAATGTTTTTTTTATTCTAACTTTCATAGAGAATTATGCACCTTTTTACTACTAGAGCAATAATTTCATTTTAATTTCAATGTAAGATTCTTAATTGGGATGAGATAACATTTTTGTGTAATTTACACCTGACTTGCCCTAATGTACTGTGAACTAGCATTTAGCATATTAACATAATTAAGCATTGTATGTGCACGCTCATGCCGACTTCCACCTTAATCATATGACCAACAAATCCATCCTTCTGCATTATACCTGCCTGTTTCAACAGCTGATGGAAGTTTACCCTAACTTAACTATGCATGTCAATCAAAAGTCTATTATTTTCTGTCTGATGTATTATTGACTTAAATAATGAAGAATAATTTAAAATATATAAATAATAGCTTTATACGTACTTTTCAATGTTGCTAATATTGCTAGAATTACCTGCTTCAGTCCTTCTTACATGTGATATTTCTATTGGTCAGCAGATGGCGTGATTGGCTGCTGTTCAGTACTGCATGTGGATGTGGTGGAAATAAGTTGTGTACTTAAAATAATTGTTCTTCTCTCTTACAATCTCACACTTATTTCAGGACGATGAGATCAACCAGCAGTCTCAGGAGTTAGAGGAGCTGAAGGAGCAGATGTTGGACCAGGAGGAGGTGACAAAACTCCCTCCCCCCTTCCCCCCTCCTTCCCCCCTCCTCCCCTTCCTTCCAAATAGCCCTACAGCCGTTCCTGTTAGCACAAACCCGGTCTGACAGCTTGTGGCAGACCATTAGTATCCCTGCAGGAGAGGTCAGATTGTAGCTCACCCTAGCAACAGTTGAGCCCTACAGATAGAACACATGAGGTTTCTTAGCTGTGGCATGTCATTCGTAGATGAACTCTATTCCCCTTGCACCCTTTTCCCTTCCCAGGCTGAGCATCTCTGTCTTATCTTCACTCCCTATCCCCATCTGTAGCTCTTAGCCTCCTCCCAGCTGGATCACAACACCCTGCAGACTGAACTGAACCGGCTGCTGGCTGAGAACGAAGCCTCCAAGGAGGAGGTGAAGGAGGTGCTGCAGGCGCTGGAGGAGCTCGCCCTCAACTATGACCAGAAGAGTCGGGAAGTGGAGGACAAAGCGCAGGAGTTTGAGGCTCTCAGTGAGGAGCTTAACGAGAAATCGGTACTTATTCTAAGCAGAATCCATCAAAATACATGACACTGATCATGTGATCACCTTGTGTGTACTTATATTTATCACCCTCCACCACCAGAGCTCCCTGGCCTCCATTGACTCTGAGCTGCAGAAGCTGAAGGAGATGACCAACCACCAGAAGAAGAGGTTCACTGAGATGATGTCATCATTACTCAAAGACCTGGCCGAGATAGGCATCGCCGTGGGAAGCAACGACATAAAGGTTACCAGCCAAACTGTTAAAAATTCAAAAATATTCTAGAAACTAAGAATTGTTTCACAGAGCAACTATGGCCTGTTGAGAATAGATGACATTCTCATTTCAGACATTATTAAAGCAGCTGAAACATAAACCACCTGCATTGCATGTGTCTTTGAGCAGCATGTTTCCAGTTTTTTTTTGTCTGTTTGAGTTGATTAGAAACAATATTTGCTCGAAAAATAATGGATTTGTGTAAAGCTGCAGAAAACATAATTATTATTATCATTAAGTTCATTTTCTATGAAAAAATACGATGAATGAAAAAGAGTGTTAGCTGCAGCCCTGGTAGCCCCTAATTTGCTGTTTACAGTTTTTTCTGTAGATGACACTTTCTGCATATTTGGGTGTAATGGTTAGTCTGTGGTTTTCAGCTGGACATTTAGTGACATTTTTAAAAAGGACAAAAACATTTGAAGGACATTTTAATGACTGTCACTTTTAGCTACGGACAAACTGTCAAAAACGGCTACTTTGTTTCCTCTCTTTCCCCCTCAGCATCACAAGAGCAGCGGTCTCATCGATGAAGAGTTCACCATGGCCCGCCTCTACATCAGTAAGATGAAGTCGGAGGTGAAGACGATGGTGAAGCGCAGCAAACTGCTGGAGAGCTCAAAGGTCGAGAACACCCTGAAGATGGACGAGACGGAGAGTGAGCTGATCGCCTGCCAGCTCCGCATCTCCCAGGTAACCGCTGCCTCATGGATACTGTGACAAATATGTCGGTTAATTAGAAAAGCAGATCATATCGTTGTCAAAGGGGGGCTTGTTGGGTTTTTGCAAATCTATTGTATGTTATTATATGTTCTTGGTTTAAAAATAGTTTGTGTGAGTTTTTATGAGTTCATTATGGTTTTAATGTCTCTTTCATTTCCCTGTGGTTGTCCAGAATGAAGCTAAGATCAAGTCCCTGACAGACAGCCTCCACAATGTGGAGCAGAAGAAAAGACAGCTGGAGGAAACGGTGGACTCTCTCAATGAGGAAATAGTTCGGATCAGAGCCCAAGGTAAGCATCACTCACTGTGCTGTCAAAAAACAAATCCAGCGTTAACCATTCATTGATCCAGAGCGAGTTTAAAGTTGTGATACCAAAAACATCCCAAGGTGCATTGGAATTGTAGGATGTCTTTCCATACAGGGAATAAACTTCAAAAGAATCCCAGATGGCATATTTATGATGCACCCTTTAGATTTTTATTGCTTTTTATTAACAGACCCTAAAGTTGTTTTGAGTACTTCTCATATTTGTAATGATTACACATTATAGTTAATACTTAAACATAGACTTATTTAAACACAATAACAATAGCACAATTGTGGACATTGACGTCTTGGAGATAAATCTAAGCAAATGTGTTCTTTCACCCTTAATTGCCATTTCTACTGCTAGAGCTCAATATAAAATAAAAAACGGTTTCTCACTGTGGACCTTATATGTTGCAGCAGTTGTAGCAGTATTCACAGAATGATAGTGATACCTTATCAGCTCTTTTGCTTCCAGAGAAAGTCAACACCATGGAGAAAGAGAACGAGATCCAGTCTGCCAATGAAGTCAAGGTACCGTCTCCCTAAGCTGTCCCTTACTGGTGTGGTTTCCATATTAAAGAGGGTGACTGTAGCTGTGTGTGTGTGTGTCTTCAGGAAACCGTGGAGAGGCAGATCCAGTTTCACAGAGAGACCCATCAGAAGCAGATCAGCAGCCTGAGAGACGAGCTGGACAACAAGGACAAACTCATGACAGAGCTAGAGGAGTAAAGCACAACGTCACCAACATTAGTCTCTTTTATTGTTTCCATGAGTGACATACTGATACTGTTACCAACATGTGTGTAGTCTGAACCAGAGGATCATGCTGGAGCAGGAGCAGCTGAGGATGGAGCATGAGAAGCTGAAGGCTGCTGACCAGGAGAAGAGCCGCCAGCTGCAGGAGCTCACGTAAGGCCTCTGTATATTCAGTGGGCATTGTTTTCATATAACCCAACATGCATTTAGTAACATGGATTTTACTTTGTGCAGGGTGATGCAGGACAGGAGGGAGCAGGGCAGAAATGACCTGAAGGGACTGGAGGACACTGTGGTCAGTTACTGCCATCTCTATTTCAATCTGTTCATTTAAAGGGGGAGGTCACCCAAAATTAGGACAAAAATAGATGTTTAATTTAATTAAAATGGTGGCAAAAGGAATTTTCATTTCAATTGAAGAATTGACAAAGTCATGTAACATGTCAATCCAGAAACAGTGCCCCGTTAAAAGCAGTAAACTTAAATAATAGAGCATACTAAGCTATTATTTTTATGTAGACTGTTCCTGTATACTTTAGACTTCCACAAAGCAATGCGCAACTGAATTATCCAATTGATTTTTTTTGCACTTTTTAAAGGACTCTACTTGTGAAGTTTAATTCACATGGACATTTTCATGTTGCATATTGATTAGTTAAGCATGGGACATAGGCATATATTGGTTAATTTCACATCAAATTCATATTGTAAAGTATGCAGAATTTGTATACACTACAGGAACTGCAAAGATCAGAACACCACAAAGATTACAATATACTGTATATTTCACACTAAATATATATAGTTTGGATTTGGATCAACAACGATGGATGTCAAATTAGCTATGTCTTATAAGGCAGGTGTCCTTAGAATTAAACAAATCTGAATATCTGCTAAGGACAATAACTGTATGGAGATTAATCAAGGTGACCACCCAAATCATATCAGCAAATCACCCTCAAAGTTGATATTCTTTATTTACATTGATTTATGGCATTTCATGTAAAAATCTCACTTTGAAGTAGAGGTACCATCCACCAATGATTGGAACATGTTTTCTATAATAAGATTCAGGAGGATATGGGTAACTGATTTCTTTATAAAAAAACATTCTATGTACTAATCTGTTTGGGCCAAAGCATATAACTCAAATCCTGGAACAAATCTCTGTGAAGCTTTATGTTATATTTACCCTTTATGTCTCCAAATGTTTGTTTTTTTCTGAAGTGGGTTTCCTTGCTGTCCCACAGGGCCGAGAGCTGCAAACACTCCACAACCTCAGAAGGCTTTTTGTCCAAGACTTGGTCACTCGCGTCAAAAAGGTAAAGCCCTGTCTGTGTGTATACGTCCTCATGTTCTCCAGAAACTGCTCATGGTACCCTATCACTCTAACATCCTCCTGTGATCTGGTTTTTGTGTGATTTCCTCTTCTATCTAGTGTAATATCATATTAGCTCCTGTTGCCCTGACTTCCACATTTACCTGGAATGAGAGGCGTATTTTGCTCATGCACCGGCTGCACTCCATTTAATTTGCACCATGATGAAATGTTAATGAATCCAGGGAACAGAACAGAAAGGGTGTGCAATAAGTAGGCCATCTGATTCTTCAAAGGTAGCAGCTGTAAATTAGGGACCCAGACTCAGCATGGCGCTCATCTCCAGCACTCAAGCTGAGGCTCCACGAGATAAACAAAAGCAAAGCATGCTCTGCTGTTCCCCAATCTACTTATCACCTCATTAAGCCAGACATGGGTTGCTTTGGATTCAGAAGTTTTAGTTACCGACTTCTTTTAATACTCTGTGTTTGAAGAATTTGATCAATGAAAAATCAGTTACACTGAGATAAATGAATGCAGAGGTACAACATGGATTGAAATCAGTGTACCAATAAAGCTGTGTCTCTGTAGAATGCTCATGTGGATGGTGACACAGAAGGCAGCTCTACGCATAAACAGAAGATCTCTTTCCTGGAGAACAACCTCGAGCAGCTCACCAAAGCTCACAAGCAGGTAGAAATACATACAAACACACAACTACCACAGTGCTGTCTCCCTGAACTTATCATGGATGTGATTTCTACATGCTCTCTGTGTCCTCTCCCTCTTTGTTTTCCCCTCTGAAGCTGCTACGGGACAACACAGACCTGCGCTGTGAGCTGCCTAAACTGGAAAAGCGCCTGAGGGCCACCGCTGAGCGGGTGAAAGCCCTGGAGGCGGCACTGAAGGAGGCCAAAGAGAACGCAGCCCTCGACCGTAAGCGCCACGAGCAGGAGATGGAGCGCATTAAGGACACTCCCAAGCCCAAGAACATGGGCAGGAGAGCCTCCATAGGTAAGGGACACGCACATTTGGAACCATGTCAGTCATGACTGCGACCATGGAGATTCTCAACACTCAAGCATGTAGATGTTGGCCATGAGGGTAGAGTAATATGTCAACAATGTTAGCAGGTATATGTGCAAAGTGTATGGAAGCTTTATGTTAAATGTACTCGTTGGATTGGACTTATTGGAACATGTTAATGCCCTTTATCTCTGACTTTGTATGTATGGTTTTATTTAATGTGGAACTGCAGGACTGATACCAAAACAAATATCCTTGTGTGAACAATAGAGAATATCATATTGTATCATAAAGTAACTAGCACAGGTCTAAAAATCCTCAAAATGAGTAGAACAATGTGGTAATACGAAAGTCAATAGTATGAAATAAGTACATTAATTATGAGGTTTTTCCAATAAGTCAAATCCATCGAGTCATTTTAAGACAACAAGCAAACATTATGTATTGCTGAATATGGAGCCAGCCAGGTGTCAGCTAGCTAGGCTTAGCCTAAAGACCTGAACCAGGGGGAAACGGCTAGACTGGCTCTGTCTAAACTTGAAATATACTCATTTAAACTACAAACAAAGACATGGGAAATAAAATAACATGTGTTGTGTCAGCCTGCTCTCTGTATGTGACTCCTTTTATCTCTCCGTGCCCGACCCAGCCAAGCCCATTAGACCAGGCCAGCTCCCTGGAGCGCCCCCCCGGTCCCCCGGCCTCAATAGATCCAACCTCATCGGGAACAACATCAGGGAGGCGGGCGACAGCAGGTGAGAGAAACCTCTTCATAGTAGCTACATAAGAAGAGATGTTTTATTTTCATTTGTAGGTCTTCCTTATACATATGTCACTTATTTTCCATTCATTTCTTTTCTGGTTTTCTTTACAGCCCCTGAAGATGGAGCAGTCACCCATGTAACATCTTGAAGCTCCAGACCCATCTACATTTTCATTACAAAGATATTGAACTTTCACCTGAAACCACTGCACCACTCTTCCAGCATCAAAGTGTGTATATAAATATATATAACTGTATATAAGAATTCCATAAACTGTGTAGACAAGCCTCTACTATAACCACATCAGTGCCTTGTAAAATCAACACATGGTAAATGGACTGTACTTATATAGCGCTTTATCCAGTCTTTAAGACCCCTCAAAGCGCTTTACATACTACATGTCATTCACCCATTCACACCCATTCATACAGAGCAGTGTACCTTACTCTAGGAACTAACATTCACACACATTCACACACCGTTGGCCATGCCATCGGGAGCAACTCAGGGTTAAGTATCTTGCCCAAGGATACATTGACATGTTGACTGCATGGGCTGGGATCGAACCCACAACCTTCTGGTTGAAAGACGACCACACTCCCTCACAGCCACAGTCGCCCACATACATGCAACACGCTTTTCTGTCCTGATGTTAGAGTAAAATATTAGTTTCGGTTTGAGCCCAGTTGTTTTTTAACTGTACTTAAACACAAGACACTGTTCTGCCAATGCTTGATTGTAATGTGCAGATGATTGTAATAATCTTGCATTCAATAGTGTATTCCATATTGGTGGCTAAAAAGGAGGCTCCCATTTAATTAGAACAGAAAGAGCAAGTGTATGCATGATCCGCCTTTATTTTATCAGATGTATTATTCTTTGTCGCATGCTTGATACTATCGCTAAAAGCCCTTAACTGCTCAGCTTCCCAGAGATGATTTGACTCGGGAACTGCACTTGTGTTTGGGCTAATGACAGGAAGAGCACTATCAGTGGGGAGATACATTCCTAATGTATGCCTGATAGCTGCAGGCACCTTGTTTGGTTAAACATGAATTATGTTTTGAATCCATTCAGACTGGATTTATATTAGAAAAGTGGATGATTGAAACTTATCCTCCTGAAATACACTATACAAGTGCAATGACATCCTACTACTGTTCAGATATTAAAGGTAAAGCTTTAAATAAATAATGACATCATTTGAAAAGTGTTTTGGTTCCTTAAACTTAAGGCACCTTTAAATGTCTTGCTGAAAAAACCCTTTGCTTATCATGCTGATCACTTTCTTAAAACGAATGTACCACTGGAAGTATTATTATACATGATTTCATATTGAGAAGTCATCAAAAATGATTGTAACTGCACTGTACATGTTCTGTACAAGAAGACCAACAATGCAGCATATTTTAACAATATGTCTATTTTAGACATATATTTCTCCATCAAAATAAGATTATTGGTATTAAAGGGTTTTCCAAAGAAACACTGCATGCTAAAGAGAAGATTACATTTTCTACACAATCGTTTTCAATTTCATTTTCTATGTTGATCAAATGTGTTAAATGTTTTTTTTTTAAATAAATGTAACGCCTTAAAATGAATTAATCTTTTTTATATGCCAAAACATTCACATTATCAGTCCATAAACCTCAGAACAGAACTAAATATCAGTGGAACAACCAATGCTCATGTGTTGCACTTCCCCCCTTACACCAATAGGGTGTGCTTTTACACAAATATGCAAATACACAAGGAGAAGTGATGTGATTAAATAAGCATGCAGACGTTCATACATTATTCTGAAATAATGTAAACTTGTTGTTTTATTGCCTGAGGCTTATTTCAGTCCGTTTATAGTCTGAGCTTTCTCCATTGAGGACTTGCTGAGTTCCTGGATCATCCAAGCACTAAATCATTCATGATTCTTCTGGATGGTGAGACTCCCTGCTGGGATTGCCAGATAGAGCCTGGCTGAGGAGATGGGGATGCATCTTGACATGTTTATCCTACACATTTTAATTATGTTTAATGGTTTTAGGAAATGGGCAATGAAATCCCATCAAATAATGAGAAGAAACAGATGAGCCTGCAAACTTTTACAAATATGTATTCCTATACCTGCATTGATTTTTCAGGGTCTTAAGGGAAAGTGAAATTTAGACCATTACAGATTTAACAGTGGGTCCTTTGGAAATATGCGGAACACCGGTCAATGGGGTGTTGAACCTGGAGGGGGCAGGCCGCCCGCGGGGATCTGGAAGCCGTCTATCAGCACTGACTGACAGACGGGTGGGGTGGCAGCGATAGACCAGCGTATGCAGGGTTAAAGACCTCTACTGCGTCATGCTGAACCCAAACTCACCGACTAAACCGGATATTAAAGGAATGTGCCTTAAAAATAAAACAAATAAAACCTGACCAAAATTAGGTAATCTGTGTATGAAAGGAAACATAGTATGTTTTACAATGGCGGCATTTGATCCCATAATGGAGACGTGACTTTAAAATATATAATAGCACAGTTAAGGTGCTGAGGTTTTTAGGGCACTTTCAACATTCTTGTATAAAAAATGACCCAACATTGTTCTATATTTAAAATATTATGATTAAAGTTGTGAACACAATTTAAGTTACCGTGCATGTGAGTTATGACTGAGAATATAAATATATATGATAACACTTACATTCTTGTAGTGACTTTTAATGACTAATGTTCATTTCAGCTAGCTTACCCAGCATGCATAAATTGATTTGGGATCGATAAGGAATATCAGTTTTAACATTGGCTACGTTTTATCAAATTGTATTGTGTTGTTTGGATATACATACAAGAAATCACTTATCGCTGATTTGAAATAACATAATCACTTCTTGCAACATAACCCCACCACACACAATTAGAAACGTTTAATTGATCTTGTGCCAACACATCTAAGATCAAGAAAGTCTTGAATACATTTTGTCTACGTTTTGACTACACAGCCAATCATGTTTGTTTTTTTCTGTATTTCATCATGTTTAGCTCCTCTGCTGTTATTCCAAGATCCAAATAACAAAACACAGGTTCTTCAGCCAAAGCTCTTACTTTGAAAGCTGTGACCGGATGTGTGTTATGTTGACGCAGTACGCTTGACTGCCTGAAGAGAGGCGGGGGATTGCGAACAGACCGACTGACTGGAGGTCTGCTGCGGACTTAATCGGAGAAGCACACACTGAATTAAGGAGAAAAAAAAGTTGCTTCTAACTACCCATACGGCCGACACAGAACACAGAGAGACACCTCTGGAGTTTCTAAAGGTAGGTATGTTTGAATGTTGTGCGTGGCTTCTCCGTACCATTGGTCAGCGACAGGCTATTGGCTTCTGACGGAGTTACTTTGTTGCTATGCACGCTGTTGCAGAACGGAGGGCTTGTATCCGAGTGAACCTGCAGTGCTTTTGTCCAGACACGAAGCCTCTGGAAATTGTCACTCAAACGCCTCACACCGGTAAAATATCCTGAATACGAACACTATGTTTTGCTTGTGTTTGTTTTAATAATTAAACTGCTAGGTTATCATTACATTCCACGTGATAGCATCAGTCTGAGTGGCACGCACCTACAGATTTGGTGAGCTTGTTTTCTCGCGGTGTGCTTGGACATTTGTCCCCGTTTAGGTGGGCTTTCTCCGGCAGGCACGTCGACTAACAGTCCCCTCGCTCCTGGGAATCCTTGGTAATGTCGAGTCGGTGTCCTTTGTTATGATTGCACATGGATTAAACTCCTTTGTGCTGTATTTCTGCAGTCTGCGGGGCTTGAAGGGACCCTGCCCCCCACCCATGGGCCATGCCCCCCCTCACCACCGCCCCAGGCATGCTCTGGCCACTCAGCCCCTGCGATTTATAGACCCTAGCTGCTTGTTTTCAACAGTGCATAATTGCAAAAGCACTGTTTTGAATTCAATGCATACCCACATATGCATTAGATAACCCGCATAGATGAAAGTGAATGCAGCAGCACATGTTGAGTGGATGCTGCTTGGTCACATCTGCTTTGAATGAAGCACAGGGACAAAGGCAGTCAGGGTCTCAGGATGTTTTGCTGCTACAGTGGCTGGTCTGCAGATTTATGCAGACAAAAGCACATGTCGTGATTCCTGTGTTGATGCATTGCATAGCTTCATTTGTTGCCAGATTAAGTGCTGTTACAGTGGATTTGCAATAATGCCACTTACACAAGTGTTTTATACATGACACTGATTTCTGCATGTTCCTGTCGTACATCAGGAGCGTTTTCAGCACGTAGCCCTGTGTGGTTTTATTAACATTTTTTTTTAATTGTTTTCATTATTATGCTTTCCTCTCATCTGATTGGTGGATGTTTTCCAAATGACTTAAATGGGACTGTTTACATATTAAATAGCATCACATCAGGAAATAATATAAGCAGCAAAATATGATAGACTAATTCTTATTGTTGCCTTGTGTCCCACTTTAAAAACTACTGATTGATTCTTAAATAGTAAGAAGAGGACAGTAGGGAATTGTTCAAATGGACAATGGTTGTACAGTCACTGCTGTGCTAACCTGTTCCTAAACATAAGCAAGATCCTTTTGGGTCTCCACAGAGCAGAACCTTGACTTCACTTTGCTCTGACAACATGCGGTGACAGGGATTCTATTGCAGCAAAATGTACTCTCTCGGGCCCTGTGCCAGAACTCTGAAACACCACAGCAGTTCGGAGAGAGAGGAGGAGGAGAAGAAGAGAGAACTAGGGGGGGGGCGGCGGTGGAGTTGTACATTTCTGCTGTATAGGAGCCACTTTAAATATGGTTAACAGTACGTTTTTTGTCATGGTGACTCAGTTGTGGGCCCCTGCAAAAGTTAGTGATGTCATTCTGCCAGCGAGCTCTGTGAGGTTTTTAAGGTTGTCTTGCTGGGTTATCAGCTCTTTGACACAGTGTGAGAACTGTTCATGGTTGTAGTGGTGTTATATTTGGGAGCTGTAATCTTTTGGATAAGTGTCCCAACTTTAGATTGTAGTGGTATGAAGAAGCAGTTGCTGCTAATCTAACGGATAAACTCCTTCTTGGACTTACTACCAGCATGACATTTGCCTGGTACAGCAATGTCATGTCACTACAGGTTGTATCCTTTATCTTGGAATGCAGTAGCTAAACACACCAGATACCCAGTCTGTATTTACTTCAGGACAGTGGCTGTCATACGCCATCAGTGATAGTGCCGTTATCATGTGTGTGGCTTGCTCTGACATGCTCCTGACTACATCTCTGGCACCTTTGGTGATGGTGTGAGCTGTAGATTGGGTCCGGTTGGCGTTAGGGGATGAGGATTTGTGACTGTTTCCCATTACTACACAGTTAAATTAAAACAGACATCGACTGTTCCTCGAGAGACAGTCATTCATTCATAAAGGCTTGGACATGCCGCGTGTTGTCATAGCTTGTAACGGGACAGGCCCGCACTGGGCAGGCACACACAAGCCCTGGCATGACGCAACAATGTGTGTGTGCTTAGCGTTGAAACGGATCAAACAGAAACCATTCAGGCCCATTATGAACCAGCAGCACATCTCTCATGGGCTCCCATTCTGGCCCAGACAGCTCTCACCACCATCAATCTATTCTTGGTTTGTAGCTGTTAGTCTGTGTGTATATTCCTTTACATAAGGATGGTCCCCTTATAGATTCAGCAACGCGTTCTCACGCCTCACTAAAGGCACCTGCTTTTACCGCCCGCACTTCCAGGATGTCAGTCCACCATGGCTGCTATTTCAGGGAAGAGGAATATGATATGAGGGGAACTGCGGCCTGGTAGCGGCTCCTCTGCGATGGGAGCGCCCCGGTATTTATTTAGGTTAACCGACGAAGGGGAGACTCTGACGGACGGATCAATGACAGTCATCATCTCAAAACAAACCCTGCAGGAATGGCACAGGCCCAGTTGTCCTCTGACTCACACACTGTGAATAATATATCGAGAAAGATCACTCTTTTTAAAGGTTTCTAAATGTGTCTGCATTAATGAGTAATGATGCAGAACTCTATGAAACGACACACACTTTATTTCGGGATGCAGACACCCTCTGAGGGAATGTAAGCTCCAGGGAGCCATTGTAGTTATTGGATCGCATGCAGGATCTTAGGGGTCATGTTGTCATCACCTTTAGCTCCGCAGAGGGTGATCAGGTTACCGGGCTGGATATCCTTTGCAGCGGTATCGGTTACCAGAGCAATCAGTGTTGACTGTCTGTTGTAGTTTTTTGATGATCCGAGGTAGGAGTTGGCTTTACTCGACTCACCAGTTGAGAATTTCTGTCTGGTATTAGATCATATCATAATGTTAGTGTGTCATAGCAGTAGCACTTTGTGGTTGTGGTAATCAGGTGAATAATACAGCGGTGTGTGTGACAGCCTGGGAGGTTAGTACGAGGAAATGTGAGCATGTTGGTGTGGTCTGGTGGGTGTATGTTAATGTGTCTGAGCTTGCTATTGCTTGTGACATTTAACGAAAAATAACTGTCTTATCTCCCACAGCCCAGCCGTTCCCCACAAGTCGGACATGAGGTGCCCTCCAGGCCTGGGTCGCTGAGCAGCTGAGGTCAAGGTTAAAGTGCTTGTTCCGGCAGTCATGGCTGACAAGGACGGGCCGCCCATCGCCCCGGGCCAGGTCTACATTGAGGTGGAGTACGACTATGAGTACAAGGCCAAAGACAAGATGGTGGCCATCCGCCAGGGGGAGTGCTACATGCTGGTGAAGAAGACTAATGAGGACTGGTGGCAGGTGAGGAAGGAGGAGGGCACAAAGGCCTTTTATGTGCCGGCGCAGTACGTCAGGGAGGTTCGCCGGGCGCTCATGCCCCCTCAGAAGCCCACCTTAAGGGCCAAGCCCACCGTTTTGGATATCCGCCGGGCATCCGATGAAAACCTCAACCGACCCCAACCGGAAATGTCCAGCTTTGGGCGTCCGTCGCCTTCCTCCACCCCCTCGCCGTCCTCGGATCGTGTCTCCCCGCCGGCTCTGTCCAAGGATGCTAACCAGAACCTGGGGAGTCCCCATCACTGCAAGATGGTAGCTGAACTGGTGCTACTTCACAACAACAACAACCACCACCACGCCAATAATTCAACGTTGCCAAGGACACGGGCAGACTCGCCTCCGCTCAAAGTAGGGAACAACCACAACAAAAGTCCAGATAGTGACAAGACCTCCCCTATGAGCAACCCGCCAGGAGATAGGCTGAACAAGCTCCACAACGACTCAGAGTCTGGGGATGAGCTGAGCAGCAGCTCCACAGAACTCATGCAGGTACGTTGCTGCTTTACTTTATTTAGAAATGGCATATTTACAGGATTGGCTTAATGTGTTGCATTTGTGAGTTTTGATTTGTGAGTTATTTGTCAGTTTATGAGAATAATAAATCGTTCACTATGCCAGCGTTGGCAGGGCCAACAAACACAAAGCACTGTAGCTCATTAAGATCTATCCCTGAGGTTTTTGCAGACTGACTCTTTGAGTACCATCGGTTTTGTACATCTAAAATATTGCCTTATGTTTTGTTCCTTTTCTTCCATTCCTCCTGGTTTATTTCCCTCTGGTGCTTTTTTTTTTCTTCTCATGGGTCGGCTACAGATAACCGCCCTTGTCCCCATCAGATACTGTCATATTAGATGTGCAGAGATTGGATGTTTTTCACTCTCCGTCTCTTGCAGAGCTGCATTCATTCATCAGCCCCTACGCTTCCCCACCTCAAACTGTTTGTGCCTCATTTGCCAGATTCCACAGAAGCAGCAAAAGTTGCAGTGCCTTATTAAAATGCTACCGTTTCCCTTGAAGCATAATTAGTTTGGTATGTACAGATGTGCATTTTCTTTTTTTGGGCAGCTGGGTTTTTAAAGACTAAACAGTTTGTTCACAGCTCTCCGGTTCAAATTGGAAGTACTATAAATGCCAAACACAACGGCCAAAATGTGTAGTTTTGTAACGTTGCCTTTCGCTTATTTGATTTTCTTATACTACAGGAATGTTGGCCATGGTATTATTACACCCACAGCTCATTCTTAAAGGCAGATCATCTCTGCAAGGGGTCTGGTATCTGTGTAAAGTGACTAACCCCATGTAGGGATCCATTCCTGATGCAGGGATACCAAACTTCCTGATGAAAACATGAAATATTTCCCTCCCCCATGTCCCTTCAGTCACTAGATTGACAACTTCGGCCTCTTCCCACATTCATAATATGTGTCTCGGTGCTAGGAGAATGGAAGAATGAGTTGAATGGGAACAGGAACTGAGGCTTATCCTCCCTCGTCTGCAGTGAAGGTAGATCAAAGTAGAGAAAAGGAGAATTCTAGACGTCGGGGGTCCAAGCTGCACTGTTCTTCGTGAGCCATTTCTGGTGTGGCTGTATCCAGGCAGGGTCAGCTTGTTTGAAGGCTCCAAGTGCTGCTTGTGTTCTTTGTTCCACAGGCTGCAGCAGCCTCCTCCACCATGGAGGGAACAAAGAGAGACGGGCTTGAATAGAAACTAGGTCATATCAGCAGCGGAGGATCAGTCTGTAGCCCCCTGTCGCCCCGCCGTGGGGACCACTGTGTGAGTGTGAATGCCATGTGTGATGCATGCACCCATGTGAAGTGGAGGAAAGTGAGAATGGAAGCACAGAGTTTACAACTTCATAGCCCCTCATGAAGGACGGCTAAATTGATTGTGGGTCGCAATTGAATTGACCCACCTCCAAAGCCCCGATGAAGGAGAGAAAAGGGGTTGTTTTCTGTGTAGCTAGCTGCCTGCCTTTTTAGATTAATTTCACGCTTGTTAAGTCACACGGGCCAAAATAAACACCCATTTCACTCTCGGCAATTTACATTTGCATGGGCCGCTCTTTGGGATGTGTTTTTGTTGTTGTTCGGGGTACAGTAGTGCTGGAGGGGCGGATAAGAAGCTCAGCAGCACTGTCTGGTCACGGGGCAGGTGGAGCCCTCTCCCCTGCTCTCTCGGCCTTTTGTGATGTTGTGTTGGCTTGTCCTGTTTGGCTTGTTGCCAGGCAATTGAATGACCCTGCAGAAAACCTACTGCTTCCTGTCTGTGCTCAGGTGCAAACAGACTGGGTCTGCAGGAGAGAGGACCATTTTGTGACAATGCTGTAATGTCTGAAGTGGTTTTGGAGAGTTATGAGTGCTTACAAGAGACTGATTGATAGTAGATTCATTTAGACATGTGCCAATATTTGAGCTACTTCACTAAGTAGTATATTTTACAGTTATAAAAAAAATGGAAGTGAGCAAATGATGCACAGCTGCAGGAACTATGAAGGTGTGTTCTGTTTCTTTCTTTTCTTTTAACTAAACTATCATCAAGACACATTCTTTTTTTATTTTCTATTATGTTACATTACATTAGGACTCACATAATGAGTGTGGGCGGCTGCTTTGCAGATGCACTGGACTGCACAGCAATTAGAACTATGAACGATAATTATAATGCTTCTTCTAATTTAACATACGGCTCATTGTGAACATGCGTCAGGAAAAATAGTTTTTAAGTGAAAATGACCCACTGTTGAACAAACTATTGAAAGTTCTCCAAAGTTCCCCCACGGAAAACAACTTTATACAACTTTTTTATTTGTTAAATCATCCCCTCGTAACCATATCAAAAAAAGATGCTTTTGCTGTAGTGCTAACTTGCAATTTTCACGTCATTTATCCACCAAGTCAGTTCACCTTCAGCCTGAAACATAAGTCCTTCCCTCCCTTACACATATCCTCTGATGGAGAGAAGGAGCCTCTGGATGAATGGGCGGGTGGGGGGACGTATGGACCTGTTAGTAGGATTTGTCGCTGACATGCCTCCGCTCGAGTGCCAGCTGGCCACCTCTAATTGATTAGATTTGATCTCGGGGTGACGATTAACGCCTCTGTGTCTCGTGTGTAAAAGGCGGCTGCAGTGCCCCCCCCCCCCCCGCCTCCTCAGCACCTTGCAGAGTTGCATAGGTTTGTGGTCGACAGCCATCCTCATGAATCCCACTTAGATACCAAGCCCTTCCCCTCTCCTCTAAAAAGCTCTTAAGGGATTGGCGAAATAAACCTCTTTTCCTCACTTCCCAGAACCTGGCAATGGGATACTGTTTGTTTTGCTGAAACAATGTGGCAAACCATATGATTTAAAAAGCCTGTTTTTCACTCAAACACATGGGGTTTCTCTACGGCTATTTTCTTTTTTTTAAAGTCACTGCAGAATAACAGATGCTCAATTACCAGAAAGAAAGTTATTTTGGGTCCTTTTTCTGGAATACTTTTACTCATATCTAAGAATCCTATATATATCCTAAGAGTGGGGAAGCAGAGACTTAACCTTTTTTTATGGGAAACGTCTCCCTTTCTTTCCAAAGTATAGTGACTTGATGAGTGGCTGCTGTGTGGGATTGTGGGAGGAGGACAGACTGTTGTTTTCTTTCTGAGATGTGTCACAGAGGGGAAGATGTGGTGGCCCTGGATGTGTTTGCGTCTGTGGCTTTGCACTCAGGAGCCGGGCTGTGCTCACTCACTGTCTGATAAAAAAGAACCTTGAGTGGCCCCCACACCCCTTTACCTTTTTATACCATTTCACACTCCAGAAAAGGTATCAGCCGCTAAAGGGGCCCTCCCTTTCTTTCCCAATTTCTGACACTTTTATCTGTCAAGTAACTCCCTGTAGTCTGTAACAGGCAGAGCTCCATGTTAATAATAAAAAGCGCTAATTCCCTGAGATTACAAACGAGATTAGTCGTTCCCCTTTTTAATAAACTGCCTTTCTGTATGACATGTCTTGTTTCTCAGAAATGTCCCTAGAAGCTCCACTTTAAGGGTGCCTACAGTCACAATGACATAACTGGCTTGTAAATGTATCCCGATACATTCTCAAAGGGTTTAAAAACAAAAGGAAGCGGCTGAGTCTGTCTGCCTTCAACCTTCTGTGTGGTCTAGATGGCAATGCCTGGGGGAGGAGGAGGAGGAGGAGGAAGGGAGGGAGGAAGGGAGGGAGGGAGGGAGGCGTTTGTGGGCGTAGAAAGACAGGGACAAAGTGCCCAGGCCCCACAGAGCTGCTGTAGCACCGATGGAATGGCGGAGACCTGGGGGACAGGAGGCCAGAACGATGTGTTTTCATGTTTGGGTGAATCTTCAGATTAGTTGTAGCCTGTGAGCCGTGAACCTCCGGTTGGCTGGCGGCGAGATGAATGACTAGAAAGCGCAACATTACCAGGTCACCGTCAAAGATGGGGGAGAGCAGTAACACTGGCTGTGGTGATTGTTGGAGTGCGCGTTGAGATATTCTTGAATGCCGATGGTGTGTTCATTGTTTCTTTCAACATGCCCACATGCGCACTTTGGCTTCTGCTAAGTTGTATGTTTACCGACTTGTGCAACAGGGCAAAGGCTGAGAATGTGTACCAGGGGCTAGTGGTGATTTGAAATAGACTTCTATGTGTGGGTGGTTGCGACTCCTAAGGGCACTTTGAAAACGCATTCACTCCTAGAGAGGTTTGATCAATTTGCTGCCACTTATTTGGTGCAGTGAGTTGAATCATTATAATCCAATGACGTGCGTTTTTCCCACGTGAAGCAGAATGTGTGTATTGTTCATAGAAAGGACAGCATGGTGGCTGTTGAGTGAGCCTGTCTCTCGCTCTTGATGGTCCTGGGAAGCTAGGGTTTACTGTACAGAAATGACCTGTTCCTAACATCCCAACGCCACAATAACCTGCTAATTACATGCTGCGCTGAATGGAATCTCTGCGGAGTCTCAAATTTGCTGCATAGCCCTCTTAACAGCCAATTTCCAAATGAGCTGCGATCTTTTTGAAGTAAGAACAAGAGGTCCTTGTTCCTATTACATAATGACCCTAGTAAAAACCCAAATATGTGAGCAAGCAGTGCTGTAAAAGTGCAACCATCTCCTGTCCCGTAATCTGGAGCTTTGCCGTGAGTCTTACTCCCGGGCCGACTAAAAAGGAGGCCCCTGCTTGTTTTCCAGTGCATACTTGACATTCCATCCTCAGTGCACACACACTAGCATACAGTGAGGCAACAGGCATGCTAAGTCAATGAAGGCCGGCATTGCCTTGAAAAGCGAACCACTGGACCTTTTAGTAATTTAATATTAAACTCGAGGAAAATTGTGCATCCACTGGGTTCATGTTCAGGCTGCCGGCATTCTTTCTATTCTTTCCTCTGTCTAGACCTTTTAGTTTCTCTTCTACTTTTCCTGTTGGCTCTGTCTCTGTTGCTTCCTCTTCTGCCGTCAGCCTCGTGCTCCCCTCTTCACCTGTCTCTCCCCTTCAACCTTTCCACAGAGTCGTGCTGTCAGATTGGATCTCGGTGATGACAGTGAGGAAAACCCAGAGCTCCTCGGTTCAACCTGTGACCACCATTATTTTTGTTCCTCCCTATTATCTATCCTGATCCTTGTCTCTGACTAAACAACAGGATTAAACCCACAAGAGCCCCAGGGCCTGAGCCTTCAAGACAGCCACAAGAATTGAAGATGTCAAATAAGGGTTACGGGGAATCCTGCTGTTGTGTAAAATGCAGGATTTTACCTTTTGAATACATTCAATGAAGTATTGGCTATGTGAGCCAGATAGCATGCTTCACTTAGAACATTTGTTCTTGCATGTTGAGGTTAAAGGCGTGCATTTCAGAGAACCGTAAGGTTTGATTGAAGCTGGCAGTGATGCTAGCAAAAGTTAATAAAATATTCAGTGTTTAATTTATTCTTGGCATAAAGTGGGAACCCCCCTTTTGAAACCAACCATCATTTGATACTCCCATGATAATGGAGCAGTTGAAGCTGGAGTAGCAGCTACGTAATGCTAACAGGCAGGTCACATTGCACGCTGTCGCTTCTGATTGAATCCCCTCCTAACTACAACGATTATTCTGGCAATGTAAAATGAAACTGATGGAAAGCATTAGCTGCGGATGACATGATGTCTTAACTTAAGGTAAACACTAATATCTGTCAGAGATTTCACACCAGCAATGATACAGGAAATGTTGACCGAAATACATTTAATTGAATGGGATTGCTTTGATGTGTAGATTAGCTTTGTGAGGTTAAAGGTGCCCTGTAGAGGGTTATTTTTGGATGCATTTCATTTCTCAACCCACCATTGTTTACATCCATGTTTGAAGTGGTCTTCTTCACTGCCTCTGTTAGCACATTGCAGAATAGCTGGCCTGTTACTGCCAATTGTGGATCAGTGGAATAAAGTGATATTATTGATGGGAATGAGTATGGCGTGCCTGTGCATAAGAAACTAAACGGGGACCCACTCGTAGAAAAACAGCGAAAAATTGCTTCTACAATTCTAAAACTGCACAAGGAATCTTAAAGTATGCATGTGGTGCTTTTACAAAATATTTTTTTTAACTAAACAAAGAAAATGTGGTTGGATATAGTGATGACCATTGGGGAATGGAGATTCCCAAAAAGGAAAGCCATCATATTTACTGTCACACCATCCAGTTTTCTACGAAGATACTGAATGGTTAGTTTGATCATAATATCAGGCTAAATGAAGGAAGTGAAACTAAAGGGGTATTCAGTTTAAAAGTTCTAAAGGCCACAGACCTGCAAGTTGTAACCTAGATTCTAGCCATGCCCATTTCAATAAGACATGCAAGTTGCATCTTTGTTTTAACTTTCTTGCCTGCTTATAGAGTCACAGATCTTGCCCCAAAATACACCATTATCTCAAAGCATTCATTTAAGTTTGTCAAATTTTGAACTAGACCAACTGGGTTACAGTATGACTAAACTGCAGGAGTGTTGCTCTAACTTAGAAGCCCGGATGACAGCAGAGAAGATGTGATTCAAGCTTCCTCCGTCTCTCTCTATCTACCCCGTTGGTAGTAGCTCTCTCCGCTCTAGTTTCCATAAAGCCTCTCCGCCTGTCAGCCTGTGATGCAGCGTGGCGTACTCACAGAGCGGATGACGGGGATACATCACCTATTTAATTTGCTCTCCTCCTCACTCCATTGCTCACTGTGCTTTATTGGGTCCCCTCCCCTGTCGTTCCCTGTCCCTCTTCTCTGGGCCTGCCTCACTGCACTGCTGTGGCTCGGTGCACTGGGACATCATGTACCCAGAGAAGGTAAGAACCTCTAGCTGGCCTGCTTTTGATACCACTATCATTTATGNGTGTCTAATTGTAGCAGTAAGCTAACGAGTACTGATAAGCTTTATTTTGTATATTCTATCCAACATGGATATAGCTTCTTTCTTTCAGCATTGGATCAAAACAAAATAAAGCTTATCAGTACTCGTTAGCTTACTGCTACAATTAGACACTGCGCCCTGCCCACTCTGTTGCCAGATTTGAGAGAAATAAGCAACCAGGTCTATGAAAACAAGCCCCAAAGAAACAACACATACATGATGTTGTGTAATTTGAAACCAAAACTAAGGCCTCAGGATGACTTTAAGACTTGAACATGGTCATTTTTGTTTTGTAACATTGAAAAAAATAAAGAAAAAGTATTTTGAAAAAAAAAGAAAAAAAAGAAATACCCGATCCCCGATTTTTTTCTCCCGATTCCGATCTTTTGAAAATCACGTGATCGGCTCCGATCCCCGATCACGTGATCGGATCGGGACATCTCTAATTTTAATGTCAGTTTCTAATGTGTTTCGGTTGCACTATATCTTAATAGTATTTTTGTAAAGCACTTTGGATTGCCTCGTGCTGAAAAGTGCAATATAAATAAACGTGTTTTATTGGCCAAAGGACCCTAAAACCCTTAAACTATTGTTTAGCTGTTGCATTGGTACTACAATTGTCATGTCCTACAGTATGCTTACAGAATAGATCATGACAAATTTTACTTTTACAGAAAATATCAGATGCAAAAAGAAGTGAAAAAAACACCCTGTGAGAGGCGGGGCTTTAGTGCTGTTATAAAACCTCTCTGTTCTGTACAGAAGTTGAAGACATGAAAAAGGAGGTGGTATTTAAGCTCCAGCAGCCGGCATTTGAATGAGTTTGGGATTTTTAGAAGATATACCAAAGACTAAATGAATCTTAGATAGCTACAGATTAAGTCATGGGTTTAGAATAAGATATACTTCACTTTTCCTGTTTGGTTGGCTTGCACACACAAAGCGTTTTGGCTGATGAGAGTCTCGCTGCAGTCAGGAGACTCAGTGAGGTTGAACCCATGAGAGGAAGCAGCCTTAAAGGCGCTCAGTGTGTGAACTCACTTGTGACAGCCACATGTCTGCTGCTTTTGCCTTCGTCTATGGCGTCCATGACCTCGTCGGGACAGCTCACGAAACGCTCTGTACACCCCTGAAGACACATGCAATCACAAGGAGACGCTGTGTTCAGCAGCCCTGCAGCAGGTTGGCTTCAAAGAAAGACAATTATTAGCTCAAAAGACCGTGACTTACTTTATCAGGCTGATGCTTTCACAGGGAAAGTTAAAAAGAGAAAATAACTACATGTTCTAGGTTTATTTTCGATTCTCTCTTTATCCCCATCTAATTAAATCAAACGTACTCATTCCATAATACAAAATTATTGTAAATGTTGGGTTATGTAGCCCTCTTCGTACCCTGCAGTTCACAGTTGCTGTTGTTATCATATTCATTTATCCATCTATAACAAATGTCAAGGGAAAAACTTGTGACTCTGTGACTTCATCAGAAACAATCATTGCTGCAACCCAAATAACATTTCTCAACCTAAAAATAAACCCCCCGTGTTTCTGACCTTGACATAGGGCACCCTGTTTTTATCTTCGTGCACTGAGAGGTTGACCTTTGTGGCTGTGGAGGAGAAGGAAAGGAAACATCAGTTCTGAATCTATGTTGTGAGCATTAGAGTCCGAATGAGAAGAAGTTGCTTCAACCATACCATCCAACAAGTCCTTGATTTTGTCCAAATAGATTTCAAAATATGAAACCTGCAAAGCAAAGTGAAACTTTATAACGTGTTATTCCTGACATTTGGAAGCATATGAGCACCTGATTGAGATGTTAACATACTTTGATGTGAAACTCCAGGTTCTCATCCATGGAATAAATGTAGTTGAAAATGTCTTGAACAATTCTGGGAATGATTCCCATCATGGCTGGGTCATGGAGATCCCCCTTTAGAAAACAGTTATATTAAAAATGTTGATATAATTTTTGGCTTTTCAGTCACAATTGTTTTGTATATTTGTCCAGTAGTAAAAAAAGATAAGATAATTACCTCCATTGTGTGCGTTTTACCAGAGGATGTCTGCCCATATGCAAATATCGTCCCATTGTAGCCTTCCAAGACATCTGTACACGTCAAGACAAAGAAATAGGACAATGAGGTTAAAGCTTGTATTAGTAGTATACTAATGTTATGTTAGTTAATGACACAGCATCAGTATTTTACAGTACATCTTACCCCTGACAATCTTCTGAGCCACAGCATTGTAGAATTGCACCTGGGTTGTTTCTGACTGGAACACGCGGTCAAAGTAGTACGGTTTACCCTGAAAAGAGGTGGATGCAGTGATGGGTTACACGTGCAAACATGAATTTCCATATTGTTACACAGCAATAGGCATTCATAACTCAACCTTACTCCGGATATTCAGTAGTAAAGGGTGGAATATTTAGAGTGTTTATTCAGGAAACAATAAGAATATGGACTGTTGGCCTTCAAAATAAGGAAAGTAGCCGGACTCAAGAGGCATGGAAATAAAAAATATATCTAGTTTTGAGCTTCATCTATTGCCAATGAAAGTAAATTCACATAATATTTACAATACTGAGACAATTTCAATGACGTGGTGAGAGACCTAGTCCTTTATATGCAGCTAAATGCTGTTGTCAAGGAAAGTATAATGACGTTTAATAGATGCTGAAGGTTAATATTTTATTAAACTTTAGTTGTTTGAGTCACAGTCACCAAATGCTTATTGCTAACAAAACACACTCATTCGTTGGCATTTTAGCACTGTCACGACTCATGCTAAAAAGTTAGCAGCAGGCCTAACATTCAATTGGCTTTCTGCTGAGCTAGTTGAATGCAGGTGGAGCTAAAAAAAAAAAAGGCACAGGTGAACCGGTTGAACATGTGTTAAACTGGCAAGTTTAAGCTTGAGTGATGGAACTTTATACTGGTTAAAGATGGGAAAAGGCTGACAACATTTATTTACACGGTGTTTAAATGTCTTCCCTTCTAAGTCATGATGACATTATCAACCGCGGACCGCCTGAAAAGCTGTATAAGCTAGGCCTAAACTTTACTGAAGTAAAAACACGACTAAAACACCACAGTTTAAAGTACTTTGGAAAAATGTAAAGCAACATCAATAATACATTATACAATGTTATTTTTTTCAGTAAAGTGATTTAAAAAATGTGTTGGAAAGTCACATTCAATCAAGAGTCTGGTTTTAAGTTTTGTTGGAACCAGAGCTCAAATCACTCCCATGTTATCAAATTAACTACTGTTTTAATAGTATTTGAAACACTTGAAGAGACATAAAAAGCAGAAAAGGGAAATATTTAGTAGCAATACTTGATATACAGTTAAAACACTCAATTAGAGATAATTGCCTGACATTCCCGTAATGAAACGTGGAAGAAGTGTAGCCCTCTAAGCTTTTCACCCCAGAGCTGAGAAGAGAGAAACACACTCACCCCCATTTGCACACAGTCCTCCCCTTGAAACTTCGGGACGTATATGTCTCCACGGGCCAACTCCGAGCGGTTCAGCGGCCTGAACCGGCACACCACCTTGATGGTGGTCTCCGCTGGGGGGTCCGCCATCTCCGCCGCTGTGGATGGACGGAGCGCTCGGTCCTCCCGGTATAGACTCAGAGAGCAGAGACAGCAGCAGGGAGACGGAGGAGAGGCCGCGCCCCTCACACTGAGTTTACTCAGAGGCTGCTCCACAATCCGTGTTCCGAAGATTCATATGTCTTTCTTTTTTTTTAAACAGTAAACAGAAAAGCAACTCGAGTGCTTTTTTACTTTTTAGTTCATTTAACTTTTGGTTTTCACATTACAAAATGTTCAAATGATAATTCGAGATAGGGGTGGGGCCACTCTCTTGGAAGTAATATCAAAACAAAAGCCCTCTCTTGGTTAACGGCACCTGTATGGATGCTGTAAGAAAGTTTTTGGATATCGTTGGAGTTAGGAATGGATACTGGAGATGAAGCTATGGGCTGTCGAGAGAGGATTTCAAGCTCTCAGAGTCTGGGCAGAGGTGGGAGAAGTAATCAGATCTCGTACTTAAGTACAATTAGAGGTACCAGAATTTAGGAATACTCTTTTACAAGTAAGTCCTGCATTCAAAATGTTACTCAAGTTAATGTACAAAAGTATTAGCATCAAAATATACTTAAAGTACCAATATGCAGATTTCAGTATCATATATTATATGATATGTTTTGATTAAAATTATTGTCAATTATCAAAGCTTGTAAAGGTGCAGCTAACTTTGATTTCTGCAGGGTTGCTGTGAATGTTACTCCAGGTTTAACTAAAGTCTTAATTAAGGGTTGATTATATATCACATCATTATTCCATATCTGGCATAAAGTAACTAAAAGTATTACATATAGTGGAGTAAAAGTACAAGATTTCCTTTGAATTAGTGGGGTAGAAGTAGCAAGAAATTGAAATAAGTACAAGTCCATTAAAAGTGTACTTAAGTACATTAATTGAGTAAATCTACTTAGTTACTTTACACCACTGAGCCTGGATAGAGAAGACTAGTTTTATTAAAGCCATGTGAAGAGAGGAAACCAGGAAATGTGGAGAAGTATAGGTGTCCTTTCTTCTGAAGGAGCTGAACAGCTGTCAGTCGGCCTTGACAAATGACTGACTGTTGATGGAGTTTGTTCACATGTGCTATAATATTTTAAATGAACCATTTGTCACTGTCAGGGCAAAATATGCCTACAGTATTACCTGTTTAACTAACACCTGTGATTGATTTGTTTCATATTCGGAATGTGAATCTATTATTTATTTTTTAACCAGAGTATGATTGTTTTGATTGATTACATTACAATTGATTACAAAGCTAAATGTTTTTTCTTTGCTGTCTATTCAATATGTTTTCTTCTTCTTACTCCACCTCCTGAGCTGCTGTGATTCACTGTGGACAAAAGCAGAGGAGGATATAATATAAGAACAGAAAATGTACTATGCTATTGCCCAAACTCTACACATTGTACTATACCCATCATACATATATCACAATGTAATGATGCCATTTTATGTTTACTAACCATGAATAGCTCCTGCCATTCACCGTGGAGGAAAAGGTACATCCAGGGTTACCTTGACGACTTAGAAGAGATGCTTCCATCCGACCCGAAGGACAAGCTGGAGAGCAGACATAGGAAACGATTAAAGACAACATCAAGTCTTAATATTTCTTATTTAATCATTTAAAGATGATTAATTAAAAAAATATTTTTATAACACAATTTCCCGATTTTGGATCAACAAAGGACACCTTATTATCTTATACTAACAGAACTATGCCTATATTGCGCACAGCGCCAATAAACTATGGCAAATGTTGTATTTTTGTTAATTTAAAAATAAATCAAACCCCCAAAAAACGTATAGGCCTACAGCTTCTGTTTTTTAAATGTTTTTAACATTGGAATTTAATGTGCAACGGCCGCGGGGGGCAGAGCTTTAGAGAGCTCTCTCCTGAAAGACTGAGCGGCTCTGATAACCTCAGCTCAGGGAGGTAAAGGCACACCTTTATATGATCATTATACTGTAGTTATAAAAAAACAAGAGAATAGATGAAAAACAGGTATAAAATACTATATGACAGTCCAAAAAAGTTGTTATTAATAAACAAGAATACAGTTTAAAAGGTGCTAAAATCTTGCCTAGGGCAGCAAATTGGTCAGGGCCGGCCCTGGGCTGTGGTATGTTGTGATTATATCTCAGCTGAGGCGCATTGTTTGGCCTGACACAAGGTAGTTGAGAGTTTTGTGTGATATAACTATCAAAGTAATAAACCTTTACTTTGGGTTCATAAGACAAACAAACACAAATGATGCCCCCTGCACAAATACAATAAAACTAAAAGTAAAGATGAAATGATTATTACAGTGAAAATATTGCAAGGGTTGGGAAATTGAGAAAATACAGGGCACATTCTTGAAACCACAAGGCAAAAACACAACTGAAAACAAAGACGACGTTTGGCCTGAGGGTGGCGCCAGAGGGAATACCTTGTTGTTTCAAGACTTTTAACAAATTTCTCTCAGCCACTGTAGTCTTATCTCAGCTTGCCAACATTGCAAATGCACATCAAATTACATTTGAATGAAAACAAACTGTTGTTGGAGAAGAGATGATATATTTTGCTTCTAGTGATCCAAATTATAATGTCAAACATCAGTGATTTGTCAGAGTGTAAAAGGGGTTCAGCAGTGTTAAACTGACAAATTCAACCATTATATCAAACAGGCAGGAAAGTTTTTTAATTCATACACACACACCTGTCTGTTCCAAAACCTCTTGAGTGTTTCGTTTTTAAACTATAGTTATGGTTGCCAAACGTTACCTTATTCCACACATCAATACACTAACATTTTAAAACTGGTGTATATATAATAAAAGTAGAAAATATATACATGTGATTTCAGAGGGAAACTTCTTTCAGGAATGGCCAAACTAACCTTTTAAACAATTAATTTACCCCTTATAGTCAAGGCCTAGAAGAGAACCCAAAGCCAAATGTTATTTCAATAAACATTTGTGATATTCAATATAAATCTTTCTTTAATTGCCCAGTTTTTAGGGAATCTGTACAGTATGATTACGCTTTACATTGTTGAGGTTATACATGCAATACAAGAAATGGGTACTAGGCGAACCAAAGGCGTTTCTTGGACAGAGCTTTACCGGCCGCGCCGCCCCCAAAGCACACAAACAGCTGTTCAGTGCGCCTAGTGGCAGCCGTGCGTTCCACATAACATGCTAGCGCACACACCGGGCAGAGGAGGTGCAATTTAGCCTCCCTGGCCCCACTATGGGGTTGAAGACTAAAGCCCCCTAACTGAATAGCCCTTGACCTGAACGAGCTCCTTAGATTCTTGGGAACAAAGGAGGGGTTCGGTCTGAGTGTCGCCTCGCTACGGTCCCCCCGGATCACTAAGCAACTTGGGTGCACTGACACTCTCTTGGCCGACGTTAAGGCAAGCAACGCTGTCTTCCATGACAGTGCTTTCAGGGAAGAAAGCTCCAGAGGCTCAAATGGTTCTGTGACCAGAGCCTCGAGCACCAACGGCAGGTCCCACTGCGGGGCGGAGGCGTGCACTACTGGGCGCTGCCTCCTGACCCCCTGTAAAAACCGTGACATAAGCGGCTGACTGAAGGCTGACCTGCCGCCAAATGCCTCATGGCAGGAAGAGATGGCTGCTGCATACACTTTAATTTTGGAATGAGCAAGCAAGCCCCCTGTCCACCAGTAACTGCAAGTAGGACAGAATATAGCTCAACGTACACAACAGGGGCTCTAGACTCCCCTCTTCACACCATCGCTGGAATGCCAACCACTTTGGCCTGTAACAGGCTGTGGTGGATCCTGCTCTTGCTTCCTGGATAGTCTGAATAACCTTGTCAGACAGTCCACCCTGTCTCAGCCTGTCCCTCTCAGGAGCCAAGCCTGGAGAGGTTGGCCCAGAGTTGGTAACGCCCCTATGGCACCTGCCTCCTGAGACATCGCCGCCCAGAACTGAGGAGCCGCCCAGGGCTGGCCCACCATCATCTGGGTCACCTCTGCGAACCACGGCGCCAACCGGCAATCTGGGGCCACTAGGATGACTGACAGACGCTCTTGTCTCACCCTCTCCAGGAGGGGAAGAATGAGGCGTACCGGTGGAAAGGCGTAGAGCATGCTTTCTTGGAAAACCACAGGGTACAGTGGCTGTTGCGCCGGCTGGCGAACAGGTCCACCTCCGCTCTCCCGAACTGGGCCCAGATCTGCTTCACCACCTCCGGGTGAAGCACCCACTTGCCTAGCAGGGGCCCGCCTCTTAACATGAGGTCGGCCCACCTGTTCTCAAATCTCGGGATGTGGAGGGCTCTCAGAGACAACACAATCTCTGAAGCCCACAACCACAGGTTCTCTGCTGTGGTCAACAAGGCGGCGGAGTGGACTCCGCCCTGCCTGTTGATGTACGCCACTGCGGTGCTGTTGTCCTCACCAGCACATGTTTGCCCTGTATTAAGGGTTTGAAATACTGGAGGACTAACACCACTGCCCGCAGCTCTAGAAGGTTGCTGTGCCGTGTCTCTGTCAGAGACCAGCGACCCCCTATAGCTCTCCCTAGGCAGGTCCCCCCCCAACCTGTCACGAATGCGTCTGTGAACACCAT